TTACTAAATTCAGATTGAGATGAGACTTCATTTATAACACTCTCATGTTGGCCCACCCTCAAACATTTGGGGGCTTGCTTCTGTCCCTTACTTCTTTAGAGACTTGCTTCAGGATCTGCAGTTCAGGAACTTGGCAGCAGAGGGCAAATCAACATGCAAAACTCCCTCACAAGCCAAGGCTCTGGGCATAATTCTCCTGAAGTCTTTAATTCTTACGGGGTTCATTACGGAGACGCCAGGAGTCTCCTTAAAGGGATAGACTTCAAGAATAAGAATAATAATAAGTATAGGAAAAGATTTCTTCTTTCTGCTGTTTCTTTAGTTGTCTGCCTACAGAGAAAGTGATATCAACAATCTACAACTGATATTGGTCCTGAATGTCTCCTAAGGGACTCTGAGCCTGTAGGGAAGTCAAGACCTTTTCTGCCAGGCACTCTATGCACAGTCTTCATCCCTACTGCTCAGCCCCACCCCTTTCTCTCATCAGCCACCTGAGACTGACATATCAGTTTTGTCTGAGCTGATTTCTTGATTGCCTACACTCACACAACCAAATGCCTCATTGGACTTCGGTACAATTTGGGCTTCTTTCACATACTCTGCCATATCACTTCTCCACAGGAGTCTTCTCAGGGCAATTCCTAACTTCCTTGTTCCTCAGAGTATAGATGACTGGGTTAAACATGGGGGTCACGGACTGTGTAAAACAGGGCAAGGTATTTGTCAGTGTCTGCAGAGTCCTGTGACCGGCGTTTAAAGTACACAAGCATGGCTGAGCCCTATAAAGAGGAGTCACAATCCCGAGGTGTGAGGAGCAGGTGGAAAAACGCTTTGTGTCTGCTCGAACTGAAGGCATTTTCAGAATTGCCTTGATAATTTTAGAGTAAGAAATAACCTATCATGGAAAAGGGAAGGACAGCAAATATGAAGATGATAGTGTGCAGGGTCACTTGGTTGCAGAAAGTGTCTGCACAGGCCAGTTCCAACAGAGGGGGGACGTCGCAGAAGAAGTGATGAAGGTCACGGGATGCACAGAAGGGCAAGGTGAACACCTGATAGGTCTGTCCTACTTGTAGTGGCACGACGGCCATCCACGCCCCCACTACCAGTCTCATGCAGAACCCCCCATTCCTGATGAGGCTGTAGCGCAGGGGGTCACATATGGCTACGTAGCGGTCATAGGCCATGGCAGCCAAAGAGAATGCATTCAGTGCTTCCCAGCATGATCAAGAAATACAGCTGGGCAGCACAGCCAAGAAAGGAGATCCTGCCATCTCCGTCAGGAAAGCTACCAACATTTTTGGTAGAGTAGTCGATGTGTAGCAGATCTCCAGGAAGGACAGGTTTCTCAGAAGAAATACATAGGGTTGTGGAGGCTTGAGTCCATCACTGTGATGAGCATACTCAGGCGGTTCCCCATGAGAACCATGAGGTAGATGATCAGGAAGGACTGTGAAGCACATGCTGGGTAGGCCAAGGGTGGTCAGAAAATCCCAAAGAAGACATCCAGGTTCAGTGGTGTGATTATCCAAGCCTTTTTCTCTGGGGGCATTTTTCTCTACATAGATCAATGCCAACAACATGCTGTTAGAGGATGCTTATGGCCCATCCACCACCATGTAGATCTCAAGTACAGCGACAAGCTACAAACATCAGCATACACATGACTGCAGATTAGGACAGTTTGACCAAAATCTGCATGTGTGTATGGACATCTAACATGGTCTGGTGGGCAGACCCCAGCTGGTAGCTAAGCCCCCACCAGTTACTCACTTACTCCCCCTCGGTGGGATAGTGGAGAAAAACTAAGGGCCAAAAGCAAGAAAACTCATGGGTCAAGACAAAGACAGTTTAATAAGCTAGGGTTAGAGAAGGAAAAAGAAAACAAACCAAGAAACCAAACAAGCCAGCCTTCAAGCAATGCCTACCCTTCCCCACCACCCTAGTCCCTCAGCTTTTATTGCTGAACATGGGCATTACATGCAGACGGAATATCTCTTTGGCCAGTCTGGGTCATCTGTCTGGTTGTGTGCCCCTTGACTCTTGTCCGGCCATGGCCAGTACACTGTAGGGGCAGAGTAGGAAAAAGAGAAGGCTTTGATGCTATACAATCACTACTCAGCAATAGCCAAGACATTGGTATGTCATCAACAGTGTTTTAAACTCCAACCTAAAACACAGCACCACAGGGACTGCTAAGAAGAAAATTATCTCCATCCTAGACAGCCCTAGTACCTGAGTTTCTTGCTTGTCAGGAAGGGTCAGAACAAAATCGTTAAGCCTGAATGACAGCTAATTGTCATATGAATAAGAGAAATTTAGTTTTCTTTGTAAGAGAGGATTTAAATAAGGGAAGTGGAGGGAAGTGGAGGGAAGGCAAGGCAAGGCAAGGCAAGGCAAGGCAAGGCAAGGCGAATATTTGCTGCAAGACTTCAGTGAGAGAGATTCATCCCAGTTTTCCTCAGGGATAAGTACACATCTCCTGAAGCTCTGTCCACCACACAGAGAGCAGAGACACTACCTTAGTTCCAAATTATTCATTTTTTTGGCATGGCTGATGGGTGAACTCCACAAGCTTTCAGAGGGCTAAAAGGGGCATTATGCAAGCAATCACAACACAATCTCAAATAGTTTTCAAGGGATCCAAAGAGGAAGGTAATTAAAGGTGGGGCAAACAGGGCAGGCTAATATAACTTCTGAATATGCTCCATCTAGTTCCCTTGCTTGACCTTGCTGTTCTGTCTCTTGGATTTCTGGAAGCTTACAAATGCAACTGAAGGCTGATTCACTCTGATATCAACCCAGCAAGGCTTCCTCATCCACTGCAAGCCCTCACAGAGCAGAGCGATGCTCTTGCTGGCTGGAAAACCAAGCCTTCCCTTTTGCATTTCTCATTTCCCAGAGTGTAAGGATGTTGCTAATCACACTTGAAGGGCGTGAGCTGTAAGCAAGCAGCCCTTGCAATTGCAGGTTGCTTCCTGTGAATAACAGACTCAGGTGAAAGCTTTTGGAAGGTATCAGTTTGACATGGGGAAGAAATGTTCTATTTCAAGCAGAGAGAACTGAGGATGCTTGCTGCATGTCTCTAGCCATTGCTAACTCCCCTCAAAAAGTCTTCTTAAGCTCTGAAAAAAAAAAAAAAATAGAAAGAAAAGAGGAAAGGAAAGGAAAGGAAGAAGAAAGAAAAAGAAAAGAAAAGAAGAAAAAAAAGAAACTCGTAATGAACCCCGTAAGAATTAAAGACTTCAGGAGAATTATGCCCAGAGCCTTGGCTTGTGAGGGAGTTTTGCATGTTGATTTGCCCTCTGCTGCCAAGTTCCTGAACTGCAGATCCTGAAGCAAGTCTCTAAAGAAGTAAGGGACAGAAGCAAGCCCCCAAATGTTTGAGGGTGGGCCAACACGAGAGTGTTATAAATGAAGTCTCATCTCAATCTGAATTTAGTAATACTTATAAAAGAATATTTATAAAAGATATAAAAGGCAAGTAAACAGCGCTGGGTGTGCGGGGAGTCTACGCTCCACCAACACGAATATCAAACATTCTAAATGTACAGAACATTGCTTTACATAGATGTCCTGGTTTCAGTTAGGACAGTTAATTTTCCTTCTAGTAGCTGGTAGAATGCTATATTTTGGCTTA